TGAAGACACACCCACCCAACCTGAATACTTTCTCCTCCACTTAATAACGGTGGGTAAAGACAGTCTCTCTCTCTCTCTCTCTCTCTCTCTCTCTCTCTCTCTCTCTCTCTCTCTCTTTTGGTTTTGGGACATACCCAACAGTGCTCAGGGACTGCTTCCAGATCAGGGCTTATTTCTGGCAGTATTCAGGGGACCATGCAGTGCTGGGGATGGAACCCAGACTTCTGCACACAAAGCCTTGTGCTGAGTTAACTCAATGGCCCAGAAGAGAGCATCACAATCTCTCTGGGCTCCAGTTACATCATCTGCCACCTAACTCTTACTTTACAAAGTTTTTGTGCGAATTCACAAAATGGTACATGTAAAGCATCTCCTATGAGATCCTCACAGTTATGTCATTTAATAAATGTCACCTTATTTTTCCCCCCTTCTTCTCAAATAGCAGTTGAACCAAGGGGGAGGCATGAGTGGGCAGGTGCGACTGGGCATTCCCTTCTCAAGATACAATGAGTCATAGTCTCGAATGCTGGTGTGTTATAAGGCTCCTCTCACCTTAGCAGGGGTACAGTGGGATTTGCTTGACAACCCAATTTCCTCAGCCTCCCACCCTTATGTACTCTGGAAGCTAGATATGGACCAGACCAGGCCAGATGAGGGCTTCATCCATCTGGACATGGGCCAGTTCTTTTCTCTGAGGAAGAGGCCCATAAACCAGGCAGTGAAGAATATTCAGAATGACAGTTAACTCTGCTACAGCAAATATGGTTCTCAGTGCCCACTCACCAGGAAGAGATCCAGAGGCATCACTGAGGTGCTGACAGATCTGTGCTCTCCTTTTCTGAGCCATCCACCCCACCCATTCTTGTTAACTGCTTCTCCTGTGCGGGGCATGGAGGTGTTAATGATGAGTGACTTGTGGTTCCTGATCTGAAGGACTAGACTATTTACAACAGGGAACTAAGGCGAGCATACAATTGTGTGCCCACGGTCATGAAAATCATGTGACAGAGTACTCTTGCATGACCACATTTGGCTAAGGAGACAGGAAAACTCCATGGGGGAACTCTCATCCTAAACCCCATCCTTAAATACCAAAAGGCACAAAAGAACAAGATGTAAAGTCTGTTAATAAGTTTATCCCATGTCATTTTACCAAGATGAGTGGAAGGTTTAAGTTCACTACTGTGAGATGAAAGTAGGAAATGGAGCAAAAAGGATCTAACTGGAAAATGAAGCCTAAGCATTCATGGTCCCTTTCTATTATGGGGGGTAGTTTGCCCGCCCCGCCCCCCGAACTCCTGCCATCCATGACTTCATTTAGCAGGGCATATAGCAGGGATATGACCCTTAGTCAGTCACTTTCTGTGGCCAACAACTAACTTAAATGGATATAGAGACTCTGTTTTGACTCGGTCTCTTCTGAAACTTCTCTTCAGCAGATGAATGAAATTTTGTTACCTTGGGGTGTGTGTGTGTGTGTGTGTGTGTGTGTGTATGTGTATGTGTATGTGTGTGTTTGTGTGTGTATGTGTGTATATGTGTGTTTGTGTGTATATGTGTGTATGTGTATTTTCTTTTTATTTCTTTTTTATTTTCCTTTTTTACATAGGCTTAATTTCTCAATCTCTGTCTTCTTTCTTCTGTTAGATCAGTGGGTTTTCCAACGTTTTTTACAACTATGGACTGACACTGATCCAGACTAGCAATTGAATAACCACTGTATCAGATCATTTCTGAATATTTTATTTTTTATGATACATTTCTTGGGATCCCTAATTCAATAGGAAGCATCCTACCAATGGTCTGTTGTTGTTCACCCCCGCTCTCCCCCTCACCCCACAAAAAAAAACCTGTCAAGAATGATCCAGCAGTTCTTATATTCAACTTCTGCATCCTCTGAAGCCACAGGGGATAGTCTATTGGAGAAAATAAAATTCTTTACTGGATTAAAGTTTCTGTGACAGGGAAGGAAATCAGGCATAATAGGAAGTCCCTAAGAGAACAGAATAGGCAAAGATGACAGGACTGGGTCTCCTGAGAGTTTCTGTGGGACGATCTACATGGGAATCTGGTTGCTTTTCATGCAGGAAGCTACCTAGGCTGTGATTGACATTTCAACGCATTTTATCTAGTAAATATCAGTCACGAAATTTAGCTTTGGTTTACCCTCAGTCCTAAATTTAATCTGCCCCACTCCTTTTTTCTCCCTTTTTTTCTTGACTTCCATGATAGTCTCAATAATGAGGAAAACCCAAGCTTATTTGCTTCATAGACATGCTTGGGTTTTCTTTAGAGAGTCCTGAAAAGTGGTTACTATGGCGCCAGAGAGAGAAGGAAACGGGATAGTGGCATTCTGGATTTGGGCAATGAACATTTTATAGGCAGAGTAAAATTCTTGCAGACACACTGATTTTTGGAGATTATCTGCAAGACCCTTCTGTATGATGTGCAGCTGTCTCTGATGTGGTGACTGATGAAGAAACACCCACACTGGGTGTGGCTCGCTCCTGCACCAGCCCCAAACAGTCCACACTTTCCTTGCAGAGCATTGTCTACCTCCTTGGGGATGAAAATCAATGACTTGCAAACTGATTAAACAATCCAAATAGCAACTGATAAATGGATTAACCCTCTCTAATGTAATTCCAAGAGCTTTTGTCTTCCGCCTTCCCCAGGTAAGTTTTTCTCTTCCTGGAGGCTAAGCAGAGGCATGGAGGAAGCGAAGGCCAGAGGGAATCATATTAAAGTGGGTGAATCTGTTCATCACTTGCTGTCTTGATAGTATTTGTGCTCACATATCTGCTTCCTTTTACAGATTTGTACCCTACGGGACCCTGATTAATGTTAGCTGGTGAATAATGAAAGATAGCAGGAGACATTGGGTACAGAATGGAGGAAGATACCCTGGTGATTTAGGCGGACCCCACAAACCTCCGTTCTTTTCTTCTTAGTCTCAAGCAGGGAGTGTTAATAGGACAAAGACATGTCCACAATAGGGATAGAAAAACAAGGGAAATGGAAGAATTTCTCCTTATGCTAAGAGCCTGTTCAAGGCTTTTTCCCTGGAAAATGAGAATGATCTCAGGGCTCCAGGACATATGCTTCTCGAAAGGCTTTGTTTTCAAGATCATGTCCCAAGGTTTTCTGCCTTTGTGTAAGAATTTTCAGCCTGAATGGCTCCGAAGGCGTTAAGCCTCATGACATGCTCACAAACTCACTGTTTAACTCATCTCTGGCATGAGACTGAGCTAAGTATCCAGTTCTGAGTTTAGGTGCTTGGGGTCTGCTATAAACTCTTGGGTATTCATAAGGCCGGGAAGCCCAGACTTCAGGGAGATGAGTCTGATCAAGAGTGGATCCCTGTGCATTTGCCAAGTTGTTCACGAGAGTCTCTCAGAGAATATTTTTTTGAGTAAAATAGTTTTCACTGTACCACTGTCATCCTGTTCTTTATCAATTTGCTCATGTGGGCACCAGTAACATCTCCATTCGTCCCTGTTGCATGCTAGTGTAGGCCGATGGCATATTGGTGGCTCTTTCAGTGTCAGGGGAATGAGGACTGTCACTGTTACTGTTTATGGCATATTGAGTGCGTCACAGGTAGCTTGCCAGGCTCTGCCGTACGGGCAGGATACTCTTGGTAGTTTGCCGAGCTCTCTGAGAAGGAAACATAACATAAGATTCTCAAATTTATCTTTTAGTCACTTGTATCTGTCTCCTCCTTCATTATTAGAAAAATAGAGAACAGTACAGCTGTTTTGGTTCTTTTCTTGAAATAGGGATATTTGGAATTATCCAACATCTGAATTCAGATAAGCTATGTAGTTTAAAATATAGCACTGTAGCACTGTCCTCCCGTTGTTCATCAATTTTGCTCGAGTGGACCCAGTAACATTGTGAGACTTGTTGTTACTGTGTTTGGCATAACTAATACATCACGGGGAGCTTGCCAGGCTTTGCTGTGCAGGCGAGATACTCTCAGTAGCTTTCCGGGCTCTCTGAGAGGGGCAGAGGAATCGAACATGGGTCGGCCCGGTTGGCTGCGTGCAAGGCAAACACCCTACCCGCTGTGCTATTGCTCCAGCCCAGTTTAAAATATATAGGTAAAAATAGTTTTATCTATGAAATATGAGAGGGCAGAGAGGCAGACAGAAAGCACCTCATAAGGTAAAAGACAAGAAATAATATATTCCAACTTGGGATGGGGTGGAACAGAATGGGCACAAGGTAGAATGTGCCTCCAAGAGCATCCTCAGTGTCCTTTCTGGAAAGAATCACCTCCTGGTACTTCTTTTGCCTCAGTAGGGATAGGGGCTGATCTAGAGGCCCAAAGCAAGAACATCTTTCTCAAGGACAAGGCCCTGGCATTAGCCATCTCTCTTCCTATACTCACACCTCTGTCAGTGATTGCTATCTGCTAGATGGGACCTTGATCCCAAAAAGCCATTGTTCAGGGATGAGAGGAGTTTGGTTGACCAGTAGATTTTGGTCATCCAGAGATATAATCAGCAAGGTAGTTTCTGTAAAGACACAAATATGGGAAATATTGCTGAAGTCAAACTTTGAGTTTTTTGAGCCCTGGAGGGCTTGTAAGACATTATTATAGGTTCTTTTTGATTTTGGTTTGCTTTGGTTTTGTTTTGGGGGCCATGCCTGGAAGTTCTCAGGGCTTATTCCTGACTTTGCACTCAGGGATCACTTCTGGTACAAAGGAAGACCATATGGGGTGCCAGGGATTGAAATCTAGTCTGTTGCATGCAAGACAAGCACCCTAACCCACGCTACAGTCTCTCTGGTCTAGCATCCAGCATCTGTGAGAGGATCGGAAATGACATTTAGCCCATTTAGCGACTTGTTTATACTGAAAAACCTCAGATTCTAAACTTCATATTCTTTCTGGTACAGATCTTACCATACTGTGGGAGGAGAGGCTCCAGGAGAAGAGGGACTGGATTCATCTCAGCCTCAAATCAGATTTGTTTTGTTGAATGTTTCTACAGCCCAGAAAGGACCGGATGGGACAGTCATTCCCAATAACTACTGTGACTTCTGCTTGGGGGGCTCTAACATGAATAAGAAGAGTGGGAGGCCTGAAGAGCTGGTATCCTGTGCAGATTGTGGACGCTCTGGTGAGTGTGACCCCTTCTTGCTTCATGTGCCTGTAGATCAGGAACTGCTCCACTTGCATCCCTCTGCCATTGTGTAGACTTGCAGGGCCTGATGGATGGACTGAAAAAGTGATGGTGATGGTGATGGGGGCAGAGATGGGCTTCCAGGTCATGTTGATATTTCTCTTTGTTAAACCTTAAGAGTCATGCCCTGGGGTGCAGGGAAAAGTGAAAGGAGAAGATATGAGTTGTGTCTGGCCTTTCTATGAAGTGGATATTTCTCTGTGTGTGTTGTGGACGACAGTGAGATAGTATGGAAATACCCAGAGACACCGGCAACATGCTTATTTGAATTGTGTGCTGTGCTTGGAGAAAAAAGCTGTGCTTTTCTGTGGAGGTGCTTGGGTCAAGTTGAAAGAGTATGGAAACATGAATATTGGGAGAATGGCCACATCTTAACTTGTGGGAGTCTTGGGGCTCTGTGGTCCTGAGTAGTTGCATAAAGGCCACCTCCATTGGTCATTCATCCCACTTTCTCATCTAGAACAGACAAAAGAGACCCTTAGAGATCAAAGAATGAAAGGGAAGACATTCCTAGAGCTAATATGGAGTTGACTTGGCATGTTTTAAATTTCTGTTTTTAACCTATCCAAAAATGAGAGTAACAAAAAGTGATTTTGTTCTTGCAATTTCATTCTGAAAATGAGTTTAGGTTTTCAAGCTTTGTTCAGGTTATTTTCCAATTCTAACCAAAGTGTTATTTTGGACTGGTCCTGGTTGGTTAGTCCTCCCTATATTTCACACGGCTTTATATTATAACTAGGCCAAAGTGCAAGAAAGGGAGTAGAGAAGATTTCAGACTTATGTTCTGTCTCATTAACTACTTAGGTGAAATTCACTTAATTGGAATATTAGGCAAAATTCATTTAATTGGATGGTTGGTTTCAACAATGAGGAGTCCCAGCTGCTTCCTACCTTTATACCCAGTATCTTCTCTACTCCACATCTAAGAACAGGATTGAGAATGATGACATTTTCTATTATCGGAGCAACTGAGTACTTCCCTTGCATTGTTTGCAAATTTATATTCCATGTTTGGGTTGTCTAGGGTTCAAGACTGACCTGAGTGGCACATCAGTCACTGGAACTGATCTGGGTTTTCCATTGCATCAGACTTTCAACTGTTAAACTTTAAGGACCCAGACAGGATAGCCCCTCTGTGCCATTCTGTCATGTACTTCCCAAACATAAGATTTACTGGACTCTTTACTTGCCTATGTCAGTGGGAAGCGAAGACCCATGTGATTGTGAGTTCTGTGTTTTACAATTTAAAAAGAAATGGAAACAAAGGAATTCTTTCTATATATTTTAAGCAAGTAACCAGACAAAATCTTTATCTCCATAAACAAATGTTATTGATTACTACGGTAGCTTCAGAAATCTCAATGGAAACGGTTGTCATTTGCTCCCTTCCTTTCCTACAAGAGTTATAGGGTACTTGAATCAGATCCCAGGGGCACTAGGAGTGGATTTTTCTTACTGAAATTTAAATTTAGACCCTTTATTCAGTATTTTTTCCCATCCCAGGACCAGTGTGCTCTCTGCTCTCAGCAACATTTTGCAATCTGCTTAGGTCTTTTCCTTGTATTTGTGGAAGATTAATTTTGATGGATAACCAAATCAAGTTCTAACTCTGATATTCTTGAAATAATTGATACTCTGGGAATGAATAGGTGGGATCTGCTCATGGGAGATGCTGATAAAGACTGATGGGAAACTGCTTCTTTAGGGTCTCTCTGAAGTCCTTCCAAAGAAAGGTGTACCTAGAAAGCTCCACCTTACCCTTTTCTTCTTCTCTATTGTGGTTTCTCGGGGAAGAGTAAGCTTTCTGAAATTGGTACCATAAATGGTGTCTCTTGACATCATTTGGTCATTGAGTCCTAGGACTCACTGAAAATGTGAACAAGTTTAAACCTGAGTTTTATGGATTTCAGGATACTGTATTTAATTAGTTTTTTAAACTCCGATTTTCCACTTTCTTGTGCTGAGTTAAATTTGACAACTTTGGACTTTCTGAATCAATTAAGACCTGAACAGTTGGGGGTAGAGGCTGGTGTGTTTGTGTGTGTGTGTGTGTGTGTGTGTGTGTGTGTGTGTGTATGTATGCAGCTGGGTGAGCGTACACACATGAGTGTAGCTCATACTCATGTATGGGAGTGCAAATCACAGACATTTCCTCAAGAGGTTAAAGAAAATAGACTCTTTCATTACCTACCATGTATCAGACTTTGCAACTTCTTTTTGCTTTCAGTGCAAATGAACTACACGGTGTAAGGGCAGAATTGAAAGGGTACTGAAAGAATGGGATTAGAAACGAGTAAAAATAAAAATAAAATGGAAGGAGGCTTAACCACCTCAAATGGGTTATCTGACAGTAATACCTTTGTAAAGCTGACTGTCAAAGTGAAGGACAAACATTGTTCAAAGAAACACCAACTGAACACACGAAAGAAATACCAACCAGGCTTAAAAAAAAACAAACCCAACCCAGGCAGCTCATTGTCTGGGACTGACTAGAGCAAGCATGCATGCGTATGTATGCCTACGGAAGAGAAGAAAGCAAGCTCCTGACTGAATCCTTGGCTGTCAGAAGCTATGGACACACATACGGTGGGAAAGACAATATCTTTCCAGGGAGGGAGGAATTCTTTGTTTGACCCCTGTGGCCAGGGGATGCTTCCTGGTAATACCTTTTGATGTGCAATGGTTTATGATCGTGCTATTAAGAATAACATTGTCATAATGTAATCAGAATATTAATAATGCTGTCTGTTGCTTAACCCATGTGCTGATATATTCATCATACATGTCAGCTCATTTGGGAGGAGAAGGCAGGAAGGAGAAGGCAGCGGCTGCAGCACGCACCACGGAGGACTTATTCGGTTCCACGTCAGAAAGTGACACCTCGACTTTCCACGGCTTTGATGAGGACGATTTGGAAGAGCCTCGCGCCTGCCGAGGACGCCGCGGTGGCCGGGGCTCCCCCTCAGCAGATAAAAAGGGCACTTGCTAAGCCCACGGAACTGACTCTGGGGGCCGTCTGCCGTCCCCTCTGACTTTGGTCATTGTTCTGGTTCTGAGCTACTTTTTTGTTTTGTTTTGTTTTGTTTTTTTTTAAATGAGAAACAACTTTAGGTTTCCCCTCCCTCCTTGCTTCTCCCTCTCACCTCCTGCGTGCCCTTTCCCCGCCCCTCAATTTGTGGGTAGGTCCAAAAGAAAGCACAAACTACAGTGACACAGAGAGCTGAGTGTCCTAGCCCCACGGCCTGCTGGCCTTGCAGCCTGATTATCTCTATAGAAGCAGGAAGCAAGGTGGAAGAGCTGTTGTTTTGGGGGGAGGGTATCTTTTTGACATGAGCAGAGTTGATTTCCTGTTTTCACACTCATTGGCAAGATGAAGAGAGGAGGAATATTGGGTTTGGAAACAAAGACCCAGTCACATCACAACACTGTTGTTGATAGATTCTAGCATTTCTTAGACATGGACCTTTCTGTTTTCTTTAGCATTAGAGAGAAGGGAACTCAGAGACATGCAGTGAAACCCTGGTTAGAAGGAAACCTTTGGGGGTGGGTTTACTATGATGGGGAACCCAGTCAGGAGCATTTCCGCAAGTGCCAACGTTGATGTTGGCATAGTCTGTGCCCCCCGTAATGGTGGCTCCCCACACACACCCCTCCTCCCCTCTTCTCCCTGACCTTTCCATCCTCCTTCCTGCCTGTGAGAAAATGTCAGCTATTTCTAGAAGTTGGGGGGAGATCTGTGCATGGCACCCCTGCCAGCACCTGGCCCCTGAACCAGCAGTGGCTCCTGGCTTCTTCCTCCTCGTCAGCTCGGCCTCAGTCGTTTTCATGTGGCTGCTTTCCCCCCACTCTCCTCCTGGTGAAGAGCAATATCCAAATGCAGGACTGGAATGGAAGCCCCAAGTCATGGACTCTACAGTGACCAAGCCAGCCAGCACCACTGTCCGGAGGGAAGGACGATACCTCACCGTGCACCTCCCCTCCCCTTGCCCCTGTTAAAAAGCATATAAATTCCCGTTGGATGATCAAGTCTCCTGTATTTCTTCTATTTTTATAGTGTCCTGCAGGCACTTTGTTTTATGTTTCCAATAGCACCTCCTGAAATAAACCAAAGCAACATTTGCTCAAGGCCCCTGGGGAGATGGAGAAGACCCTCCTCCACCTTGTTGGCAGTCCCCTGAATGAACAGCTGGGCGGTCCCGGTCAAAAGGTATGTCCCCCACTGACCTTTCTGAACAGGAGGGTCAAACCATCACAGTTTAGTTTTCTTTGTGTTTTTATTTCTTTCTTTCCTTTGCACCCCAGTTTGTTTTTTTCTTTTCCCGGGTTTAGATCCCAAATGGGGAGTGGCTGCTGGCAGGGCTCCCACCTAGCCTTTGGCTTTCTGTGTGTGCATGTATGCCTGTGTGGGTTTAGGTGTGGTAGTGGAGCTCAGGAAGGGTTCTGTGTGGGCTTCTGGCTTCAACCAGGATCAAAGATGGCTGGGGCATGCTTGGCTGACTCTCCCTTGGCTCTACCCGAAAGTGGATCTAGGGAACTAGTGGTGATAATGGGTGGAAGGAGGAGTTGTGAGGACAGTGAGGCTATGTATCTGGGAATGCTAGTGTCTGCTCCAAATACTGCTGGAATAGTTAATACCTATAGGACATCCTTGACTAATCCATTGGTAAAGAAGATCTAAGATGAAACCCAACCCTTAGACTTGCTATAGGAAAGCTCTGAATTCCCACCCAAAAGAGCCTTGAGGGGCCGGAGAGATAGCACAGCAGGTAGGGCGTTTGCCTTGCACGCGGCCGACCCAGGTTCGATTCCCAGCATCCCATATGGTCCCCTGAGCACCGCCAGCCAGGAGTAATCCCTGTGCATTGCTGGGTGTGACCCAAAAAGAAAAAAAAAAGTCTTGGACCTCAGGGGGGGCACAAGTCCCTAGACACAGGCACTAACCCTCAGCTTTCCAGGCAATGGGCTAGTATCTGGGAAGGAACTGCTTAGACAATTAGGCTTTTGCAGATGCCTGTAAATTGGAACTCTCATCAAAATAACCACCCAAACACAAAAGCAAGGACCCTGTAGTAAAGAGCTCACAAATGGATCCTTTGTGCTTCTCTGATAGGTGGAGAAAGAAAGGGATGCTACTTTTCCCTCCTGCTTGAAATGTGTAAATGCTTGTCTTGGCATTTGTCTTCAGTTGTGGGAGAATGAAAGTAACAACCTCACCCACTTGGGGGAGGTTCTTCTAATCTGTATGTGGTCCTGTTCCTAGAAAATACGACACAAACTTCCACCACTTGGGGGAGGTTCTCCTAATCTGTATGTGGTCCTGTTCCTAGAAAATACGACACAAACTTCCAACACTGTCATATCCCGGCATGCACACATGTGTGAAAAAGTCAGTATCGTTGGTTCCAGTTGGTTTCTGTTTAGGAGCTCCAACCTGCTCTGGCTGTCATTCTCTACCACTTTCCTTCATCTGTTCTGTGACTTTCACTCAGATATTGGATTCAAGGCATTATGATTTTCTTTCATTGATAAAATGTGAGCTTCCATCTTAATAAAAATGTGTCCAGCCAATCTGTAGTGTCGTTTGAAGTCTGTGTAGTTGTTTGTAGTCTGAGAATTCTCAATGACAGTTTGCCTTAGAACTTGAAAAATTTAAAATTCCATATCATTAAAATATAACATTGTCACCTAACTCCAGAGTCAGACTCAGAGTTCTGAAGGGGAACCAAGGATGAAGAGCTGTCTAAATAAGGCAAACTCTCTTGGAAAGATTTATCAGAGCATGGCTATTCCTTGTCTATTTTACCTAGTATAACTTGATCTCCAATTTCCCCTGCAAAGGGTAGTAGATGTCCTAATTTTTCTGAGCTGTATAGCAACTGGTCCTAACATAGTAATGCATCTGAGCATTTTTTCTGAGCAGTTTTGAATACAAGAGACTCAGAATTTATACCCTCAAAAACCTACAAGGACAGAGAAACTTTGGAGATGATCAACTTCAAATCTTACAGTTGAAAAAGATGAACTCAGAGAGGTTAAGTGAATTAATTTTGAGAGAGTGGTGAGCAGGCAGTCATGGAGACATACAGGGGGAAGCTGGCCAGCTGGTTTACAGAGGCCAGGAGAGTTGATGTTCTGTCTTTTCCCACTTTCTCTTTCTAACAATGGCTTACATTGTTCCGTGGCAGACATTGTTCAAGTACTTTCCCTTAGATAGTTCATTAAATCTTCCTGAGTTCCCCTGAACCTCCTGATACGTGAAATTATTCCTCAGTTTACAGATGAGGAAACCAAGGCTTTAATAATAAAGTTAAGAATTGTACCTAAATGGGGCTGGAGTGATAGTACAACAGGTAGGGCATTTGCCTTGCATGCGGCCAACCTGGGTTCGATCCCCAGCATCCCTTATGGTTCCCTGAGCACCTCCAGGAGTAATTCCCGAGTGAAGAGACAGGAGTAACCCCTGTGCATTGCCAGGTGTGGCCCAAAAAAGTAAAAAAAAAAATTGTACCTAAAGCTGCATAACTAATAAAGTATCTAGTTTTAAACATTAGCAATCTGATGCAGGATTATATTATAATCTATATTTTGTCTGTTGTTTTTACAATATATCATTTGTGCTGCTTCTTCTATGATCTTATCTGTAGCACTGTCCTCTCGTTGTTCATCGATTTGCTTGAGCAGGCCCAGTAACGTCTCCATTGTGAGACTTGTTACTGTGTTTGGCATATTGAATACGTCATGGGTAGCTTGCCAGGCTTTGCCATGAGGGTGAGATATTCTTGGTTGCTTGCTGGGCTCTTTGAGAGGGGCGGAGTAATCGAACCCAGGTCAGCCTGACTGCCTGCGTGCAAAGCAAATGCCCTACTGCTGTGCTATCGCTTCTTAGTGCAGTAGGCAGCGCATCAGTCTCATGATCTTATATTCCACAAAAATAAACATGTAAATTATCCACACAGAAGTATATATCTGTATGTATCCATTTATCTGTGTATGTATATATCTCTCTGTATATACATATATTCACACAAATACATATATACTCACACCTCTCCTTTGCTTTTTCTCAAGTCCAACTAATGATAGGGGCATTTGTAATGAACATATCTTTAAAAGATAACCTTATTAAAAACAATTTCAAAACTGAAGAGTGAATCATTAGCTCCCCCAACAGAGAATTCCAATGAAAATTCTGTGCAGAACAGTATAGAGAGTTCAACTTCCAGATACCACTTCTAGACAAGCTCTTCTAATGCCTATCAAGGACAAAGATCTTCTTTTGTGACCTCAGGAGTTGCAAACATTGTAAGAGCAGCCAATATTAGTCAAACTATCCTTTTGTCTTTGCTTTTGTTAAGTAGAATCTCAACTTAAATTTTAATATTAAATTAGAGTCCTCAAGATAAAATTGATCAGACTAGTTTCCTTTGTCCTCAGCTCAGTAAAGCCCTACCCTAAATACTTCATAACTGTCACCTTATTTTCTGAGTTCAAGCACAAAGACAGGGGAATCAAAGATATAGAACTTTCTAAATTTGTTACAATATTGAAATCCCCCGCAGGGGAAATGTTGATGTATAGGTGATTATGGTTGTCGCTGATTTTTTCCCCCTACCTAGAACAATCTGATCCTCTATTTCTGTTACTGAGACTATGTAGAAATTAAGGCCTCGAATTGCTGTAACAGTGGGAGTTAGAAATATGCATTTAATTTTTCAAAGGTACTTTAAAACCAGTAATGCAATTTGCTACTGGTATTTTAGAGAGAAGGATTTAATAAAAATGTGATGCTCACATCAATAGTCTCCCTTTAAGTCTTCCTGCTTACTTTGCATCTCTCTGTGCACCTAATGGGCTGCAGCCTCATACTGCTTTCATATAGTACTTGAGGGAGCACAAGATCATTACTTGGGGAGACAGCGGAAGGCTGTTTGGAGGGTCTCACTTCGTGGAAGAATAAAACTAATTAATATTATCCCAATCTGTTACATCTGATGAATGTGATCTTGAATGGGTCCTTAAAATTTTGAATGGGCTCAGGTATTAGGAATTTTGCCACAAAGGAAATTTAAGATTTTAAATTTTAGATTGTGTCTAGCTTTTAGAAGAAGTGAAGTTACTTGCATTGCAGATTTTTTGAGTTGGGGCATTTTTACTGTACTGAGTAAAAGCCTAGAGGTGAAATCTTCTGTGTTCTCTCAGTCCTGGTGTGAGATTGTTGTAATGAATTTCTGCCTCAGTTTCTCTATCTCTAGATTAAGAACATTTCTTAACCTATCCTAATTTATAACCAACATTATCTCATGATGAGTCTTAAAATAATCCTGAGAGGTAGAATTAATATTATTTGTTCCCATTGTACTGGTAAGGAAATTCAGGTTAGAGTTGGTGAGATGACTAGTTGAAGTTCTAGAATCAAGCTGTAGTGTCTCGGTCTTCTAATACTCTTGACCAGTCTATACTGACTTCTCCATGGATCATATTTACAAGATTTCTTGAGTATAATCATTGAAGAACTTTGAGGTCTTTCATTAAAGACCTCATTGGATTAAGAGGAGGGTTTGATGCTGTGAAATGAAACAAAGCAAAACATGTACCTTCTCGCTGCATGTTCAAATCCTGCTAGGAAGTAGCAATATCTAAATTCCTACTCACTCTCCAGAGAACTGAGGTCAAGCTTTCTAAATGGTCCAGGTTCTCTTAACCACACTGGGGAATGTGTGTGACTGGTAGGAATGGTGAAGTGGCAGAGAGTGAGCATGTCAGGACTGGGTCACGTGTCCAGGTTTTCCAGTATGAAAAGATTCCATCCTATGATGCAACTGTGCTTCATGTAAGAAATCCCTGACCATTTAGTCAAAGTTACAGTATAAGACAAACTGTTTGCTCAAGTCAAAAAATAGCCAAGAGTGGCATAATACCCTATTGGAACTAAATTATTAGCTAAAATGCATTAGCATTCAGGTTTTCAAAGTGCCTTAATACTGGCCTATATAAAAAATTTATTTATAGGCCTTCTAAGAAAACATTCTAAAATAGTTTTGGAGATAATTTAAGACTTTAAAAAATCCACACAAACAATGTAAAGAACCTCTATATAATTTTAACCCAGTGTCTCCAAACAATACAATAATCATACTTAAAAAAATGAACATTCATGCTATTCTATAATCAGTAGATCTTATCCAAATTATGAACAATTTTGTCTCACTAATATCCTTTTCCTGGTCCAAGATCCAGTTTAGTATCACATGTTGCTTTTATTTATGTATGTCTTTTTGGATTTGCTTTTGGGCTCCCTCTTGATGCTCAGGGCGATGCACCTGAATCTGTACTTAGGGATCAATATTGATAGTGCTCAGGAGATCACATATGCTACCAGAGATCAAACAAGTGCATGCAAAAAAAAAAGGCAAGTGCCTTACTTACTGCATACTCTCTGAACCACTAGCTATATACTTTTAAAACCCAAGAGTAGTTTTTTCTTTGTCTTTCATAATCTTGATATTCTTTTTTTTTGGAGGGATCACTCCCGGTGATGCTCAGGGGTTACTCCTGGCTCTGCACTCAGGAATTACCCCTGGTGGTGCTCAGGGGACCATGTAGGATGCTGGTAATCGAACCCAGGTCGGCCGCGTGCAAGGCAAACGCCCTACCCACTGTGCTATTGCTCCAGCCCAATCTTGATATTTATGAGAGCATAGGCTAATAATTCTTAGAAAGTTGAAACCTACACTTTAGGTTTGTGTGCTGTTTAATAATGATTAAATCAGGTCATGCACATTTGGTAAGAATATCTCAAAACTGCTGTTATGTTCTTCTTGGTGCATCCTATCAGGGAATGCATGATTGGCTTATTCTATTATTTGTGATGCAGACATTTAACCTTTCAGCTGAGGTTCAGTCAAGTATATGTAAGGACCATAGATGACAATTTTTTGTTCATATATGCATTTGTCCTGCTGGAGACTAAGGACTGAATACAGGAGTATACAGATGACCTCTGAGACCCGTGAAGAGTGGGATAAATTTGAACTTGGGAACACTTGAATTTATTGGTTTATAGATTTATTTTAAATCTTCATGGGAGGACTAGATATCCAGAAGTCCTTACCAACCTATAAAAGCATACTGGGGTGAGATGTGATTATTTTCGTAAAACAAATGAGTCAGTGTTTCTTAGAGGAAGCCAGCCAGATCTGTAAAGAACTTTAGACTGCCTGTTGCTATTTATAGGAAAGAATGTCAGAGAGAATGGAGGTAGAGCTGACAAGAAAGCAAAGCTGGGAATCCCAACATAAACCATGTAAAACAGCAAAAGTCACAACTTTGAAAGATGCATTAGTGTTGTTCTATAGTGTTTTATTCATGTTACTAGTCTAGTGCTCATCACAACACAATATGATTGTAGTCTTTATTTTCAAACAGATGGCTTGTTCCTTGAGGGAAAAGTTGATATCATTTATGTCCCTTGGACAGTGCTTGACACCATTGTGGCAGAAGTGTTGAAATAAATCGAGGACTAAGCAATATTTTCTGAGCTACTAAAGTGGGAATAATGTAAGGTCTCATTCTAGCCATAGCTGATGCTTAATAAAAAACATTGAGAGCAAGTTTGGAAAAATCATGTCAATATCTACTCATCAGGTCAAAGTAGGTAGGTAGATGAGACTTACGCGCCTTAATGAAGTGGTGGTGAGAGATGAGGGAGAGTGAGAGAGATGAGGAGAATATGAGGACAAGAGGAATGAGAAAGGTGAAATGCATGGAAGGGTAGATAGGAAGCTGAGCCTCTTTGGAAGGCGGACACTGAGAGCAGAAAAGCAAAGGACACGGGGAGTTGTCATTGTCCCAGCTAAAGGAAATGGAAGAGAAAATGATTATCAGGCGCACCAAGCTGGGAACAACTAACCAGCTATTATCTAGTAACTTTAGATGAAGGAAAAGAAGAAGTGTGTGTATGTGTGTGTCAGAGTATGGTTATGAAGACAGACTCACTAGAAAAGTGGCTGGTGGCAGCTGACCAGAGAAAGCAGGTTGAACATCAGGAGAGGGACAGAATCCTGACAGGAGGCAGAAGTTTGATAGATGTCCAACAAGAGGAATACTTTATGAAGAATGTGACAAGCACTCTGTGGGAGAATGGGAGAAAGCCAACTAATTTTATCACTGGAGTGAAAGGGTTGGAAGCATGTGGACCATGGAGAGAAGATGAGCGTTAGGCAGGAGGAAGAGAATCTGAAAGGTGCGCCAGAATGACAGATTTGAGAAGTGAGATAGAAAGAACAGGAAGGGAAGGGAAGAGGAGAGAGAACCTAGGTTCAGTGAACCTTAGATGAAGTAAAAGAAGAACCCTCCCTCCATACCTAGAACCTAAGTGTGGAGGGAGAACCTAGGTTCAGTGGGAGGGAGGTCCTTCTCAGGCTTCCTTTGAAAACCTCAGTAGACAAAGAGCTACAGAATTGTGTCTAGCCCAGAGTGATAAGTGGACCAGAGAGTAGTGATACCTTGGGCTCTAGAAGAAGAAATGGGGAACAGGACTGGGGATATTTGATTTTGGAATTGTTGCTCATGTGGTTTTGAGCCATATTCCCTGCTGGCTTCGCCATTTTCCAGTTAGGCCCCTCCTACCATTCCTTTCTCCCTTGTCACTCGGCTCAACACAAGTTAGGCACAGTTAGGGGTTCCCAACTCTGTTCTCAAGAACTGCTTCTGGGGTGAAATGCGATAGTCCATGGTTTTAATGCTTACTCCTTTGGACTCCTTTGGCCCCAAGACTTCATTCCAAAGACCAAAATAACTTGGCAGATTTTATTTTGGCTAGAAGCAGAACCCATGCCTGATGGGTACCTATCCAGGCTAAAAGCTTACCTGGTTTGAACTGCTACCAGGTTGTGAGGTTTCCTGGGATTACTGGGCTAGCTGAGGGCTGCAGAAGGTGTCTTGACTTAGTTCTCTCTCTGAGTAATTCTGAAACCCAGGTGTTACTTGGGAACAGAATTGGTGGTGAAGCTATTGTGCCCAAAGCATCCATTGGGGTTTTCTGTGACTGCAACTGATCCTATAGCAGACAACTCAGCATCTACTTAGGTCACAGGAAGACATTGTACCATCATGATCCTTGGGTGGTAGTTTTAGCAGTGAAAAATACGTTTTATAAGCAGAAGGGAGAAAAAGTATTTTATCCCCAGTTTTATACTAGCCTCCTAGGAATGGAAACTCCAGCTGTGTCCTTTGTTTCCTTTTGCCCAGTAGCAGCTGCCTGGCATCCCCTGCCCAGCCCCCTCCCTGACTGGCTGCACACTGCTGTGTGCAAGCCCAGGGTGCTAGCCTGGTTCTCCACACACCTGACCTTGGCCCCATTGGTGTGTCTGTGTGCTGGTGGGTTTTATCTACTCATTTAATTTTGATTTTCATTCATTTCATCTCCATCTCCCTCCTTTTAATTTCAGCCTTTCCTTTTTTAGGTAGTCGCTCTATGCTGTTGTTTTTTGTTTTATCTTGCATTGCCTTTCCCTCTGCAGTCGACTCTGTGACCCGGGGACGTCAACCTCCTTCAAGCAAGCCATTTCCGAAGAAGGTGGAAAGAAGCCACAATGATGAGCACCTCCTCCTCCTCTTCTTCCTCCTTCTCTTCCTCTTCCCTTGCCCGGCCCCTTCCTGCGCGTGTGTTTCAGTCAACACAGGAGCCTGGATTGTGGAAAAACCTCCAGTGCAACTCAGCTCAGCTCAGAGAATCTCGGGAATGGCCTAAGTTTGTGCAATAAGAAGATTTTATTTTTTCCTTTTTAAAAAATTCTTCATTACATTTTCTTTAAGTGTCTGTGGGAAAGTACCCGGGTCAGACTGGAATTGCTCTACAATAGAAAGAACTGAACACAAACAAACTGACAAAAAAAAAGTTAACTATTTTATTTATTTCAATATTTAAAAGAAAAAAATTGCTGAAAATGCACAATATTTTTGTTTAAAGTACCTTCTACTTCAAAAATTAAAAGCAATTTTGTGAAGACATGAAATCAAAAGAGTACTTAATGTAAAATAAAGACTGCATATTAACCCTAAGGAAAAATACCCCAGATTTTAATAAGAAAATAAAGATCAACTCTGCTCTCTCAGGCTTTTTTAAAAAAGCCATTCATGTATGTGCTTTAGGTATTTTTATTTTTGCGAGTTGGATGTGGTAAGTGAGGAGTACTAAGATTTTTTTTTTTCTTCAAAAGTCTATTGAAAGTGTTGGTGATGTTAAATGATTATGTGTTAAGACTTGACAGAAATAAATTAGCCACAAAGGCTATCAGCAGTCTCTTTGCACCCCCTTCCCCCACCCAAACCTCTCTCCTCACCCCAGGCAAGTCCCATTTATCTGAATGTCAAGAAGCAGCCTGCCTCCTGGTTATCCTGTCTGAAGAGGCCTCCTTCTGAAAGGAATCCCATCTACTGATTAAATATATCTCTGCAAGTTCAACAGATTCAAAGGCAGACTGTTTTGTTTTAAAATAATGCAGTGAAGGAAGTTTAAACAGCAGCAGCAGCAGCAGCAACAACAACAACAACAACAGAATATAAGCAGATGCTGAGATGATCTTAATTCAGTCAGCTAACAACACCTAGCGGAGATTTGCGAAGGGACTATTCTGCCAAGCTGGCTTTGAGGGACTCTGAGATTCTAGCACTGCCTCCACTGGCAAGAAAAGCCAACCTGAGTAATGGTGACCTCAAATTCAGTTGTTGGTAGGGATCAAGGGAAAAAGAGAGTGTTCTAGCATGTTCTTTTATGGCCCTATTGGGACAGTGAATGCTGTGACCTCTGAAATGCCATCAACATGGTGCCTACCTCTTAATGAGGAGCTGGGTGAATAGGATGGGTCACTGGGTTCTGCTCCCAGTCTCTTCCATGACCATGTTCTCAAGAATTTTCCCTTATTTATAAAGCCGAGTCAGAATAATAAATTTACAATCCAAGGCTGAATATTCTTGTTTTCAGAAGTCTTGAGAGACAGTGTTACTGAAATGGTTCTGAGCCTGAGATCTCTCTCTCTCTTTTGCCTTTCTAGGGGTAATTGGGGTGCAGACTTTCTGCCCATCTCTCAGGTCTCTCATTCAAGGCCAGTCCCTGGGGGAAATCACCAAGAGTGTCTTTGTATCATTTTGTATTCCTTTTCTGTGACGTTTTCTGATAGAAAATGTCCCTTTTCAAGATGCTGATAATTATGATAATAGTCTGCTCTCCAACCAACTCCCACAAGTTATAACATGTGTAGAATTGTGATAAAGCTTTGCATAATGTAGGGTTTGTATCAAGCTTGTGTAAGTTTCTGTTAAATAAAAGTCTGTTTCCAATGCTCCTATAGCATCTTTGTAAATTTTACTTGACCACCTTCATGCTACATGAGTTCAATTTTTATATGTTTTATAGAAGGAATTTCTAAAAAGATTCTCCTCACTTGCATGTCTGAGATTTTTTGAATCCCATGTTTTTATTTAGAAGCACAGTCTTAAAGAGAAGTTTCCTCTGGATGAGTTGAAATCATGGTGGCATGAAAAATGGAAATTGCTCATGGTGGGTGCCAATTTTTGGTCCCTGGGCACAGACTGTCACATGGTTATCCACCTACCATCCTGCCATCATACCAACCCTCTGCATGACCAAAATAGATTTAAGGAGATACTGGTTTTGTGCACAGCTCTGTTATGCCTATCTGGTGTTGCCATCGCATCCATGGCAAGAATAACTTTGTGCAAAAAGAAAACTTCTGCACAAAAATTCCAGACTTAGAATGTACTTGGAAAGAGCTGAAATGTTCATGATTCCGCGGCCTGAGATGTGCGCTGAGTATGGCCTTCCTAGGTTCCCAGGTGGTCTAGCTGTTTACGCGGCTCCGTAAGAATGGCTCCACTGTGTGGACAGGAACTCTTCTCTGGTGAGTCATCTGTATATGAGAGCACCAGACCAACCTTTCTGGTCTTGCTCTCTCCCGTCAGCTTGGCCTGTCACCAGGTGGAGAGGGAACATATCATTCTCATACCCCCGTGCTTGTCTTCAGAGTGAATGTCACAAAGGTACAGTCAGTATGGATTTCCTAAATGTCCCCAGCTGGGAAAAGGGCTCTCCCCTCCTCTACCCCTTTATCCCAAGTACATCCTCCTTAGATTTAAAGCAGTTTTTACTGTGTACATTATACATGACATAAAATGGGCCCACTTAAAAACATACAGTTCCATGAGTGGCCTTAAGTCTAGTCATACTACTGTCAACTCACAATGACCATCCATCTTCATAACCTTTTCTTCTTTTCCGGTTGAAGTTGTGTGACCATGGAGCACTAATTCCTCATTCCCATCTTCCCATACCAGCAGGCCTAGCAGCCAGTCTTTTATCTTATGATCTAGGAATTTGATGATTCTAGGTACTCAACTTAAGTCAAAATGTACAGTATTTGTTCTTTTATGACCTATTTGAATCTTTTAACATAATATCTTCATGGTTCATCTCTGTTATAGTGTAAGACTTTCCTTCCCTTTTAAGGATGAGTGATTGTCCATTGTTTACATACATAAGCATACATAAATACATGTGTGCATTCAGATAGATATATACTCAATGGAGTGCATAACAGATGATGATGTATATGTTGTATTTTTTTTTGTTCATCTGTCTGTAGATTGACACTTGAAGCAAAAAGTTTTCTACATATTAGACAATACCCACTTCCTGCAGTGACTCAGCTTGGGGACACTAGATCCAATTCAGAGATCATTCAGGGTATTCAAAGTCTTCTATACAGCAAAGTGATTGCCCCTGAAATCTTTCTTCTGATCCTTCCCCTAGAGCAGGGCTCCATTGATTCCGACGGGAAAACAATCTTCTCAAAGGGTATTTTACCTACTAGGGATTTTTTTAATAGTTATTGTCTTTGTGCTGCTCACAGAAACAAGATGTCTAACATGGAGCTGTGGTATTCATGCAAATACTGAGGACAGAGGAGACAAAAGAATAGAAGTTCTCAGTGGTGGGCCACAAGGGCGGAGACTGTCTTTTTCACAGACCTAATGGGGTATGGTAGGCAAAGCATGTCTGTGCTTTGTGCCTGTAGATGGTTACTAGCCAAGAGGGAGGGCCAGGGTTTACTTCTGAGTCAGAGAATACAAAAAAGAAATCACTTTTCTCATCCATTTGGAGACATCAATTCATGGAGAGGGCCGGCCCTGGGTTGAAAATCAAATGCCATGAAGCAGGTCAGGTGTGAAAAATCCACAATGCCAGGAACACTGGAGAGGGTCCCAGCCTCATTCAGGGTCAAGGGAGATAATAGTGGTGGGGAGTGTTTGGAGTTAAAGGCGTCCCTGCTCCAATGGGGTTCACCACCCCAGCTCAAGAGGCTGCTGCCTGCAGGAGAGTGAGCATAGGGTTTTCCAGTTCCAGGTTTTCCAAGAGGAAAAGTCTCTTGGTGAATTATTCCAATGTTTAAGTAGCAGTAAATTAAAGGCCAACCCTGAAGATCAGTTTGGTGTGTACTAAACCAAATGTGAGCATGCACCAGTCTCCTGGTGATAGCTTTGGGACAGCTTTCCCCAAGGGTTGCCAGGTTGAGTAAGGTTGCAGTCCAGAAAGGAATACATTGACCAAACTCCTTCCTGTAGCAGGCCCATGATTTCAGCCATGGATGTGTTTTGAGGTATTCTTACATCAACTTGTCATGGACTGGGAAAGGGTTCTTGTTTGATGTTTGGATAGACCTGGCTCATTATCTAGCATCTGTTAGAAACCCAAATGTGAAAACTTTTGTCCATTGGCCTCTTTCCTTCTGCATATATGTGAAAGATCTTCCATTGACAACTCTGGGGAGAGCTGAGTTGTGTGGGCTATATTATTTTTTTTTCTCTATTGCTGACAGTCATCACAATTTTTTTACCCTTCATTTCCATGTAACTTGTACTAAATTCAAGTTGTATTATAGCACTGAATCAGTAAAATTCAGAACTTCATTCCCCCCCCCCCCGAGTTACTTTTGATTAAAAAAATGTAAAATATGTGGGGTTGGAATAACTGGCAGAGCACATCCCTTGTATGTGTGAGACCCTAGATTCAACTTCTGGTGAAGAAATTATACATGTTTATTACATATATTATCTCTATATATCTTTAGGGCCATATATTTTTATTTAATTTTGTTTTAGGGACCATGGTTTACAATACTACTAATATTCAGTTTTATGTATAACACATTCCAGTTCCATACTCTCCACCAGAGTGTCCACTTCATGCCACCACTGTCCCAGTGGCCTCCAACCTCCTCTTTTTCCCTCCTTCTCCATGGTAAACTTTGTATTGAAGACAAGTTCTCAGTTTTTATTGCCTTTGGGCATTTGTTATACCCCCTTCTATGCCCTGTATTGCCCACATGTGAGAGATCTATCTGTCTATCTATCTATCTATCTATCACAAAGAATCTAGTGAAGTGAGGTACAGATAAGATGGAAAATGCTTATAAGACAAATTTGAGTAACAGAAGTACTGGGCCTGGGGAGATAGTTTAAAGGGTTGGAAGCCCCCAGGCTTTGAATTGCTGGCACCTTATGACCTTCTCGCTCCCCAACACGACCTGTCACCAGCATTGACTTGTCCAGTCTGGTTGCTATTACTAGGAGTGACCCTCAGGGTGCAGTGAGCACTGTTTTGGAGCATCTACTCCCCTGAAAATAGCAAAACTTCTGATGGGATATAGATGTATATTATTATATATTACATATATACCCCAGAAATTTTATTACCTGTTACATAAATATATATTCATTTTTGTTACTGTAGCACAGTAGCACTGTCCTCCTGTTGTTCATCGGTTTCCTTGAGTGGGCACCAGCAATGTGTCACAACAAATTGTGAGACTTGGTGTTACTGTTTTTGGCATATCAAATATGTCATGGGTAAAATATATCTATTCTAGAGTTGTTTTGTTGCACTATGGAGGAGGTTATTCTGAATAAGCAGTTCATTTTCCTTATGATTTATAATGAAGGGAGATCTGAAAATTATTCCTGAAAAGTCTTAGCTGGTAAATATTTTACGGTTTGCAGATCTAAAGTGGTAATCTGTTCAACTCTGAAGTTATGGGACTGACAATTAAAAACAATTATGGACCACTGGTTTTCAATCCCAGGCCCACGAACTGGCACCAGTATGCATGTGTGGAAAGGTCTAAAATCACATCTGTATATAGACAATGTAGAATTGAATGGATATGACAGTGATCCAATAAGTCTTTATTTGCAAAATAGCCAGCTACCAGATTTGGCCCACTGGCAGTTGTTTTGCTGATTTCTGATGTATTAATACCATGTATCATATATAAAATTAGATGGAGGTAGTGTTGTATTTAAGGCATTGTCTAAGTGTCAGGACTAAGAAAAGAGAAGAATTTTACCTCAGCTGATGAAGAGCGAGCAATACATTTCATGTTGTAGGTTGTATGGAGGCCCATTTGCATCAATGTTTCATAGTAAACTAATTCCATCACAGGTTTGGCACACTGCTTTCATTTCTTGTTTCTGTGCTGAGTACAAACTACAAGAGTCTGATGCATATGAAAGTGTACACAAAGCATCCAGTCTAATTGCTAGATATGCAGTAATTCTCAGAGGAGATGATAATTAAGATCATTCAACTTTGGCAAAGTATGAAAAACTTTAAGTTTAAAGTGGTCAAATGTTTGAAAATTAATTCTATGGGCTAAATGAACAAAGATAGTTCTATCTGTTGGTGATAAAGGACATTAGTGAAATCTGAATTAGGAGGTGTGGAGTTGTAGATATAGAAATGGTATCTCTCTAGTGAACACTGATTTTTCAATGCTCTTGACATCTTGAATTTGTTCACAATGGAATGTTGAGATGTTGCTGAGATTTCATCATTCTTAAGAACATAGGTCATATTCAGAACCAGAACATTTCTACCAATTCCTTACTTCACACCCTGGTGAACTGATAGTGAATTCCTCTTTGGTGGGTAGAAAGGATTCCCGACACTAGAGTTACTGTGGAATTGAAAACAAAAATTGAATATGAGGTGATCAATATGGATGAAGGTGGCCTCTTTTATGCTATGTCGCAACAGTCAGGTCAAACTTATGGAGCTGTTCTTTAGCTGTACTATAGCATGTTCAGTGATCTTGAAATAACTAGTACCTTTTTATATCTCAGAGTACCTTATATGTAGTTTATTGTCAATTCCCCGAGTTATCTCCAAGTTCCCTCAAAAGGACAGGGGTTGGGGCCAGTATACAAATCTGCTCCATTTGCTCCAAAATCTACCCTGTGATCATATGTGAGACCATCCAGATATTGATT